TCCTAGAAACGCTCTGCTCCTAGAAACGCTCTGCTCCTAGGATAAGAGCATTTGTAGGAGCAAATTGTCTTTAGGATCAGACTGCTACTATTCTCTAAATCTAGCTTTAGGAAGTGGCACTACATAGTTCTGCTCGTTATAAAAGGAGGGCTTAACGCCAAAATAGTTCAGGAAGTATCCTTCTGCAAACCCCTGCAATATCATTTAATCTACCTGCGCTTATTGGCTACACTCAGCTCCTACACAGAGTACGTTTAAATAGATCTTCCTGGCGGTTTTAATGGCTGCCAATTTTCTTCCAGCTCTACAAGAAGTCTTTCATCCTCCTGTTTATATCCTTCTATATCACTTGCAATGCGTTCCACCTGTGAAGGAGAAGGTAGCATAACTCCCTCCATGATAGACTTGACTAGAGGGTCTATCTTCCGGTTAACATGAACGCCGCCAGGATATCCGTACAATATATGTGTCAGAAGTATCATCAACTCTCGATCATCTAGCTTACTAGGATCGTTGCTAAAAGTTTATCAGCAGGTCAATTGTACTAAGCGCGTGACGAATATCTTACATGTGGGCCTCTAGGGTAGGGCTGCAAGTCAAAGTGATCCCTACTCCAAGGTGAGAAGCTACGTAAGACCATCTTTTGCCAATTCTCTTGTGCCATGCATAACTGTTTTCGTGTTTTTTTCTTATTTCTGGAGTGAGAGTGTTCTTATGGCAGCCATATATCGTTTCTAAGACAACTTCTTTCGCTACGCTAGCGACCCCTTTTCCTGGGGAAAGGTTGCACGATTTCCGGTCTTTCTTGAGTTTAATGCCCAATTGCTCAACATAGTGGTGAAGAAGCATTCGTGCTATCCGCAGTTTGACAGGGTCGACGATAGAGTCGAACTCAATCGCCTCAGCACAGCGGAGGCTCGTGAGCATTCTTTCTGTCAAATGATATTTCAATGTTGGATTGCTTATCGGAAGACGAGACCAGGGATCTTCTAGGTTCCACCTACGGTAGAATTTGGTTATGAAGTCTCCCGCATCCTCTCGAAGGAAAGAATCGCCGATTCTGATGAAGTCACATAGGTCCTCATAGAGGCCCCCATATAGATAATTCAATTGGTCGTAGCAGTGAAGCCAGTGAGTCTTTGTCGTGTCCTCAGGGATTGAGAATTTCGTTTTAGTTACTGGACTTTCGTCCCAGTTCGAAGAGAGCAGAGATGGTGACAAAGAACCTAGTCTTCTTTGGCGTGATAAAAGGAGTGATCTTGTGCTCTCTTCATCTTCCGCCTGTAAATTAGAGATTGCCATGTGATCACACATCTGACTTTGGTGTTTCGATAGGTCAGATTCGTCATGAGCTGAATAGCAGGTTGCAGGACCGGTAGAGGCATGATAGTCCGGAATAAATTGCTCATCAGCTACATCCCCTAAACGAGGTCTAAAGCTCCGTGTGTCTAGAAGATTGCTGCAAGGCCGTAGATCCACACCAGAGTCTGCATGAAACGAGTCTCTGTATGGCATAGGACCTTCGAACGATAACTCATGTGGTAGGAGTTTCGTTTGAATGAATTCAAGGTACTCGTTCTCCACAGATGCAAGTAGAGATAGAAAGGCTTTGCCCATGTATATGAACTGTCCGGAGTCAGCAGTTTCCGTTTTAGTCACATCAACCTACATCATCTTCCTCTTCTCTCATTCTTCCAAACGCATAGCGTAGCAGCGCTTCGTCGTCATAACATCTCTGATTAATGTTAGAGGCAGCATCCTTACAGGGTATGATCAGGCGTACTAGCAACAAGGAGCGCATCGTTGTTTACAGAGCAGGACAGTAGAGAAATTCTCGGTGCGACAATGCAGGGTGGTTATGGGCAAGCACAGTTGGATAAATACCTTCAGAAACTGTGCAGGAAAATGCGGGGTGTGAGGATTTTTGTTGCACGATTGAGTGGGAATATTGTAGACGTAGCAAGGCTAGAAAACAGCGTATGTATTGTACTGTTTGTAGCATCCTAGCTCAACTTATATTCAAGCCATCGTACGGCCTAATTAATAATACAGTTTATGTTCACAATAGCGCTTGGCCTGCGATAGTTTTTCGCAGCAGTCAAAGTCGATCTTATTACTGCATTACCCAGACAAAAAGACACGAACACTTAACGAGTGTCAGGTTGCGTAGGCCTCTCGAGCCCCTCGGACTGAGTCACGTGCCTGCGGCCTTATATACAGGGTTTACAGCGTCCTTCGCCTATTGCAAAAGTTTGCGGACGCGTGTACAATAAGTTACAGTACAAACAATGCGTAAAAAGAGAGATTACTACGTTTATGTACCCGTGTCCGTGCGCGGGATGCGCATGGTCGAACTTTGCGCACCCCACCACAACAACCACCTATACAAATCGCGTCATAACTCCACGAATATGGATCTGATTCAGGAAGCAATGAAAGAAATCAAATCGCGTGAGTCAGGCACACCTATTTCGTATTCTCAAGTCGCGAAAAAGTATGGTGTAGTATGTGACGGTTCATGAGGTAAGGACATCCAGGTGCCACGTAGTGATAAGACGGTTCCTCCTTCTCTTGACAAGCACCTTCTACACCTATGGGGATCATGTATACATTATGTATACAGACCGTTCTGATAGCCCTATAAAAGGCTATCACGACAACTAGACAGAACAATACACAAACGGTCAGCTTCGGCTTCGATTTTGATGACGCGATAGCTGCTGCTTTGACTGATGACCATAGGTGCTTCTGCGATAGCAGCATTGGCTTGACACAGTTCCCGAATGTGTGATACAAGCAATCGAGGAGGTGCTTCGCAGATGGTCTGTAGCGCAGCTCTGGCGGCTATGAGATTGTCTGCCATACCAATCAAACAGGAGCAGGGTACTGTATTGTGTATACTGTTTCTGGTCGAGAAAGAACTCACTGCCAGAGAAGGGCCATATATCATCAGGATATGTGACCAGCTACAACTTTGTAAGGCATCAATAAAACGAAGCAAGTCCAAAACGTCGGGTCTTAATATAGTGGATTTAAACTCGTGCGGTCCTAGCGCATGGAGGATCTAGCCAATCTAGTCAAGATGACTGATATATAAAGGAGCTTTCAATGCTTCTGATAATGTCGTCCCTCTTCCGCCTCACAACCGCTGCATTCTCAAGAAACCAAAAGAGTGATGAGTTCTCAAGAAACTATTGCAGACGATACATTGTATCAGGTATGTATGGATGTTGCACGATTGGCGGCTGTTACTGATCATCTCAGGGGTATCAAAACTGTCCAGTAGTCAGAGATGATACCGTTTATCCGGCTTCGGAATCATCAGAACCAGTACCTGCAAGCAAGCACTTCGGTGATAAGAGAAAGGTTGAGCAGCCCGGAGAATGTGCGTCGTACAAGCCAGGAGAGACAGCCTCAAAAATCAACGCTAGTAAGACTTTCCTCCCTGCAAATCGACTAGTACTGAGTCATATAGGGCACCAGCCCGAGGATAATGGTACCGAAGTAGCAGACCTTTTGGACGAACTGAATGACTTGATGGAGCTGCAAAAACGCATTTCAAGTAAAGTAGACGACGTGGTCTCTCGTCTCAAACAATTCACTCAGAGGAGCTTGCTCAAGGGCGGCAACCATGTTAGATGGGCGGATAGTGCCAGTGCCCACAACTTTGATGACGATAAACACCGCCCCAGGAAAAGAGCACGTGGAAGTTTATAGGATCAGACGATGAGAATTTTATATTAAAGATTGATATGGAATGCGGTACACGAGAGTTGAATATGACACCGATAATATTTCTATGCAAGCACCGAGGCACGGCCCGGATCGTAAACGTCTCTGACTGCACTCCGAACTAAACTCAGGCGCTAGATATCGTGTCTGACAGCTCGAGATTACGTGACATGAATACGCATTTACATTGTTTTTTAGACCTATTCTTTTCGTTTATTACGTCTCTTATGTTCTAAACTCTTCAAACTCTTCAAACTCTCCAAACAGGGTGTCCGTTTTCCTGGTTACGTCCGGTGATAAATGTAGGGAACTGTACTCCCAACTATTTTCTGACTCGATCTTGCGTTCATGGAGACTGCCTATGTTCAGACGGTCACTTATATCAAAGGTGTCGTGCAAAGAAGTTAAGGGTGGCAAGAAACATCTAGTCGACGAATCATAGTCCACCTGCGACGCTGGTGATGGCTGCACTAGGTTTGAGACGAAACACTGAGTGTAGGTTGACGTATATTGATGGAACGCCGATGCATCGCTTAAACTGGGTGGCGAGCAAAAGTAGATGTCTGCTGGAGTTACTGCCATCGCTTCGCTCGGACACTGAGCTATTTCAGAGGTTAGGTATACACTTTCTACGTAGAGAGGAATTTGTTGTGAACTCGCACCCTTTTTCAATACTTCTATGGTTGCTAATGCGTGTAGTAGCCGCTCCTGCAGTGACACGTTGTCTTGCTCAAGCTCTCTATTCTGAAGCCGTCAATGAGATAGTCTACCGTTGAAACGGTCGATTTCGAACCTGGCGTTGAAGAGTGTTAATCTGGTCTTTTTTTTTCTGGCGCGACTTTCGCTGACTCTCTCGGTTATACTCTCTTCTTCGTGCAAGTTGGTCGGCAGTGAGTTTCATAATGCTTCGTAAACTTACTTTCGACGATCCCCTCTTTTTCTGGGTAATAACCGCCGGGTATGTTCGAGTCGATAGCATGGAGAGTTAAACAAGACCAAAGTAAAGATCTCTAGGTTATCGGCAAGATAACAACAATTAATAGTTTAAGACACGCACCAACAAACTGATCCCGGTAGAAAACGAAGGTGTGGGGCTAATAATACGGCTGCTACTCGGGCCCAACGGCTGCTGTAGCAGAATTTCAATGAAATTGCCCGTGCTCCGCACGGGCCTATCACCTCAACGATAATATCACCTCAATGAT